TTTTAGAAAAGGACCCCGTGTCATTGCGTGGGTAATGGCGAAGCCTAGCCCAATAAGGTAGTATCCATCTCTCGTTCCGAGGTGCCGAATTGATGGTGTTCCAACAAAATTTTGTGAACGTCCAAAAGCGACATTTCAAATGCAACAACCTAATATTAGCCATCAAAATCAATAAAAATGCTGGGTACAATGTTGGATATTTACAGTGCGTGTCAAAATTGCGTGAACACACTGGAATCGATTCTCAGAGGTCAACCAAGTACTTTTTCTGCCATGGAGTCTTCAATATTCAACTTCCCGTCGTCACTAACCTACAATGGTTTTTCGGCGAAAGATTTTGTTTCAATATGGCAAACTACTTTTGATGGACGTTTTCTTCTCTGAGTCACAATTATCTGGACACCCTGATGTAGATAAAGTATCTGCACCAATTTCCTAACCTGAACACAGGTATGGGATCCTCAAGTTGCCGGACCTTCCGATTGCGGAATCGCACTACAATCCGCTCATGCGTGCGTCCTCCCTCTGTGGTGAAAAAAGATTGTCGTGACGTTTCGTCATGATACGTCAAAGGCCTCAGGGTGGATCCTGCGCCACGTCATATTTCCATTCCAACCTACAAAGACAAAGAGACACACCAAGAGCCTCTCAGTCATTGAATTCCTTAAAGGCGAAATTCGGGCTCAGACCAACCTAATAAGCCTTTAGAGTGGCTAGAAGTGCGAGGACACAGTTGCAGAAGACGCGCCAAGTCCCTGCATCAAATCGCGTCACTGAGACGCTAGCCGCCAAGGATTTGACACGCTCCACCAATTGCGACTCGCTCCTCCCACCGCTCGATATCTTGTCTGCTTCGCAACGTTGATCTGCTATGCTATCTCCACTCGGGATTCTCTACCGCTCTCCGCGCTCACATGATCTCTCATCCCTCGGCTGATTTTCTGAGCTTCCCCGCAACATACAGAAGAAGGCTCGTATTTCCCGTGTATTTTACGGTTTTTTCTCCTTTTTTGTCCTCCGGCGGTCCACCTCCCACCCCTACTTTCACATTTGAGTGTAATCACCACCAGTTTGATCCTGAATTTTGCCTTAGTGATTGTACTATATCTTCGTTTGTTCGGCCTAGAGGCACCATTGAGATCAGTGAAAGAGTGGATGTGGCATAGCAAACAACGTTGGATAAAGTCCAGAATCCACAAAAATTGCAAAAAAATCCGCCCCGAAGCCAGGAGGAAGCCATTAGAAAATATGCCACCAAGCAAGAACACTTGAACTCCATGTGGGCGGAAGGCGGGCTTAGGCGAGAAGTTTCAGATGCCCTGCTCACTATCGCTTGAGCGAGTAGCGCGTACGCGTTAGTGTACCAGGCCAAACTGGTGAAGGCAAAAATGCAGAGAAATAGAACAATTCTGAAGGTTTACATCAGAAACTATATTCGCCTAACGCCATTACTAAGTTTACTTTACAGAGTGGTTTAGTGGTAAATTTTTTAACGATCTCGTTTTAATTCCAATAAGAGAAAGTAAGAACAATCAATAACATTCTTTCAAGTGAAATGTTCATTCAATACAAAAATGGAACATAAACGTTCAAAAACTGCCTAAAACATGAACTACATATTCTGAGGGAATCACTGAATTGTTGCAATTCGATCAACTGCCGTCCGGGGAGCATTTTTGTGGAGCAGAAAATGTCCTTGCACTTCTGCAGGTGACAGTTCACGTCCGATTGATTTGATGCGACCAACGAATTCCTCACAAAGCGGATCAGAAGGTGAAAGGCCATAAAATCTGGTGAACATCTGTAAATGAGAGCAAAATATGTAGTTGTTCACAAACGGTAGAACGGTACCTAGGTTCCTTCATGTTTACTAAAAGGGGTGTAGATTAGGTAGGACATCTTGCGAAACGCTTGCAGCTGAATTTCAAAGATTGTCCAGAATCAACGCAGATTCCAAGTAAGCAATAGATTTTAGAGTATTATTTTGTGAGAAATAGTGTTCTGCGAAACGTAAGATCAAGCTTTTCCATGGAAAAGGACGTTCCTTGTTTCATGAGATCCACAGCGTTTGGGCATAGGAGTGTATTCAATAGCAAATTGCTTTGGATCTTCGATGCTCTTGGTAGTCCAACGAAACGTTTTCAAATAGAAAGCCTAATGCATCGGGCAGCCTCGAATGCAAGCTGTAAAATTCGTTACGAGCCCATTTAGGCGATGATGTGATTTATACCAATAAATTTAATGATACCATACAATAGCCTAGAAAATGCACGAGAAAAACGCCCAAAAATTCAACGTTTGAATGAGTTCTCCTAAAGTGATGGACGATTTGAGATAAAGCATTGTGAAATTTTCTCTCGGAATGCGCCACACAATCTGCGTGACTTACGAAGCCACCGATATTCGATATACTTCCAACCGAGACTCGTACAAATTAGCATCTTTTGAAGAAACAGAGGCTTCATTGACGTGAACTGTATCCGACCCGAGATTTGATCCTCACATTGCGCGCATGGCAAATTGCTTCGCTTAAGAACAGCAGCGGTCAACGTGTTCGGCGAAACCGTACTTGGTGCATAATATTGTTCTCACCAGAACAATCCCATTCAAGTATTGATACGGTGTGTCCTTTGACGTTTTTGAATCCTTGAGTCAAGCATTCAAGACATTCGGAAGAAACGTCTACAACTTATTTTGGGTCTTTTTTGAGATAAAGAAAAAGAATGTTCTGGGAACCGTTCCGGCGAACACTTTTGACCGCCAGTGTAAATCACGTCTACGCCTGCTCATGTAGTGAATTATACCACTCAGCTAATCGTTGATAGTGCCTTTAACCGAGTCAAGGTCTCCAAATTGGAGAAAGTTCATAAGCTTTACTTTCCAATACCTAATGAGGATAATGGGAAATACTGATCTGCCCGTAACAGGAAGCCCTTTTTCTCTTATTGAACGCATGGAGGATAGGGGCTCAGCTCAAGCAGGGTGAGCATGTTGTTCAACGTCATCCTGTGCTCTGTGAAGAAGTCGAGGCTTAAAGTTGGAATTCATTCACAATGAAAAGGCAAGCCATTGCAAACTAAATTAGAAATGGTCAGTGATGCACGAAAGAGGAAACAACCGAGAAAAATGACCTGGAACCCAAGAAATGGGACCCGATGCTTTGTGCGAAAGAGTGAGTGGCTTTCCTCGGTGCTGCCCTCTTCACGACAACGCAATCCCCGCTGAGTGATCAGACTCAGACAAGAGCGAGAGGGGGCGTGGCTCGCCAAGTGCGCCAAGAGTGAGGCTATGCTGGACCGCCGGGGGTGTATCTTTCGCTGCCAATTGCGTGTTGGTCCGCATCCTCACGGGGTCCGTCTGTCTCTCAACTAGCTGACGTTTTCACTTGTTCGACGTTGGTTCTTTTCGTGGAGTTCTCATCTAGAGCCCTACGAAACACGCAAGTTCAGTGGGGAGTCTACAAGAACAGGCGATGGAGGACACATGAATTTCATGGTGACTGTTGAAGCAAGGCGGCTACCGATTGCATCCCTCGGGACGTCATATGAACCCAAGTATTATGGCACGCGAGAATGATGAATGGAAACGTTGCCAGCGTCCGCTGAGGAATTCGGTGATCAAAAGAAGAGCTGGCTATACCTGTGACACCGGTAAATCATTGAAGTAAGAGTTACCTTCATCGCCATTCCTTCAGTGACGTTGCCGAAGAACTGCTTT